ATTGCCTTTTTATTCACTCTTAAACAGTCTCTGACTTTTTAACTGGAGTGTTGAGACCATAAACATTTATTTTTTTATTTTTATTTTTTTTTAACATTTAACATTTTTAACATTTATTGAGGATTCTTGCCCAAATCTGGAGACCATAAACATTTAAATTAATTATTGATATGGTTGGATTTAGGTCTGCCATTTTTATTACGTGTCTTTGTACCCTGCTTTTTGTTCCTTATACCTTCTTTTGGATTATTTGAATATTTGGTGTCTGATTTTAGTTTACTGATTTTGACTCTTTCTCTTTTCTCTTTCTCTTGTGTGTAGTGGTTGCTCTAGGAAGTATAATATACATACCTATTGTTTCATAGGGTTGAGTTAATATACTACCACTTTGCTTAAATGTAGAAGCTTTACAACCATATAGATTGTTTAAGCCCTGCCTGCTGACCAATAAGTTATAGCTGTCATAAGTATTACATTTACATATGTTGAAAACTCTACCAGAGAATGTTAAAAATTTTTTTTAAACAGGGTTTTCTGTTGTTGTCATTGTTAACGTATTTACCCAGCTATTTACCATTTCTTTTGCACTTCGTGCTTAAAAATCCAGATTTCTCTCTGGTATCTTTTTCCTTCATCATATCTGGAATAATTTCCATTAACATTTCTCATAGAGCAGGTCTGCTAACAACAAATTTTCGTTTTCTCTTTTTCTTGTGAAAAGTATATCTAAGCTTTATTTTCACTGAGTATAGAAATTTGGTTTGCCAAATCATTTTTCTTAGGATTTTATTTTATTTTATTTTATTTTTTTAAATTTTTATTTATTTATGATAGTCACACACACACACACACACAGAGAGAGAGAGAGAGAGAGAGAGAGGCAGAGACACAGGCAGAGGGAGAAGCAGGCTCCATGCACCGGGAGCCCGATGTGGGATTCAATCCCGGGTCTCCAGGATCGCGCCCTGGGCCAAAGGCAGGCGCTAAACCGCTGCGCCACCCAGGGATCCGTTTTCTTAGGATTTTAAAGATGTTATACTATCTTCTGTTCTCCTTGGTTTCTGTTGAGAATTCTGTGATCAAACCATTGTTTTCTATATGTAATACGTCATTTAAAAAAATATTTTCTTCATTATTTGAGAGAGAGAGACAGAGATAGCAAGAGAGAACATGAGCAGGGAGAACAAGGATAAGCAGGCTCTCTGCTCAATGTGGGGCTCGATCCCAGTGTCTGAGTCTAAGGAGACTCTTTAACCAAGTGAACCACCCAGGTGCCCCTGTAATATGTCATTTTTAAAGCTGCTTTCTAGATTTTTATTTCTTTGGGTCTGAACAGTTTCTTTTTCTTTCTTTCTTTCTTTCTTTCTTTCTTTCTTTCTTTCTTTCTTTCTTTCTTTCTTTCGTATTTATTTATTCATGAGAGACGAGGAAAGAGAGGCAGAGACACAGGCAGAGAGAGAACCAGGCTCCCTGCAAGGAGCCCGTAGTGGGACTCCACCCTGGATCATGCCCTGAGCCAAAGGCAGACACTCAACCACTGAGCCACCCAGGCATCCCGGTTTTGAACATTTTCATTAAGATGTGTCTAGGTGTGTTTTTCTTTGAGTTTATCCTATTGAGTATTTGTTGAGCTCCTAGAATCTGTAAATTTATGTCTCATTAATTTCGGTGATTTTCTACCATAAATTTTTCAAATGTATTTTTGTGCCACAGTCTCTTTTTCCTTTCCTTCTGGGATTGTGGCTACACTTAAGTTAGACCTTTTGGTATTGACCCACAGGTTGTTGGGGCTCTGTTTACTCTTTTTCAACCTTTTTCCTCTTTGTTTTTCAGATTGGATAATTTGTCTTTAAGTTCTTTCCTTTGTCATCTCCATTCTATTATTGAGCCCATTCTGGTTTTATTTCAAACATTGTATTTTTCAGTTCTAAAATTTCAATTAGTAGTTTTCCTGGGTGGTTAAGTATCTACTTTCAGCTTAGGTCTTGATTCTAAGGTCCTTGGATCGAGCTCCACATCAGGCTCTCTGCTGAGAGAGAGTTTCTCCCTCTCCTGCTGCCTGCTGCTCTCCCTGCTTGTACATGTGGTCTCTCTTTCTCTGTCAAATAAATAAATAAAATATATTTAAAAATTCAATTAGTTCTTTCTTATGGTTTTTATTTTTCTCAGAATTTCTACCTTGTCCTTCATTTCAAGTGTGTATTCCTGTATTGCATGGGTCATAGTTATAATTGTTGCCCTAAATTTTTTATACTTCTGGCATCTGGATCATCTTGGGGTTGACATTTGTTCATTACCTATTCCTTTCAGAATTATGCACATTTTCCCATTTTTTGTGTATTACATCATTATGAATTTATTCCTAAGATAGTGCATGTTATTTGTATAGACTTTGGGTCTTCTTATAATTTTCTGGGGGATTGGCTAATTGAATTCAAATAAATCAAAAAGAATCTTCTGGGCGATCATTGCTGTTTTTCTTTTAGCAAGTAACCTGTTCACTGTTCAGACCATAGTTCTGTCTTGCTTTCTGAGGGTATTGGTTCAGTCTTAGTTTCATTCTTTGAGTCTTTGCTATGTTGGTTTACCTCTGCTTAAATTGCTTAGGGGTTCGTCTGAGACTTTTTCAGGTATTTCAAGTCTTGTTTCATTTCTCCAAGCTTTTGATACATTGGTTTGGGTCTGTCTTTTACTAGCAGCTCTCTCAGGTTAATCTGGTGTGCAGCTTGTTCACATCTTATTTCATTTTTCAAAGCCTTTGCTAAGCTGGTTTGGGTATGCTCCACACATATGAGATTTGGAATTAAGCCATGATTTGTATAGATTCATACAGAGAATTATGGGATCATCCTCCTTGTCTGTCTCTTCTCCACAGTTCTCTTACACAGTTTTGTCCATGGAGATCCCTTTTCCAGGTTTCTCTTGCCAGAAAGATAGAGTTTCTAGAGTTTCTATTAGAATTTAGGCTGCCTATGCTGCTCTGCAAATGGGGCCCACCCTTAATTGCAGAGCCACGTGAGGAAAAACAAAAAATGGGGAAACACACTCAATATGAGTCACTTCTCCTGATTTTGATTCCCCTCCACAATCCACCTGCTTTGTTTACTTTTCGGAGTCCAGGATTTTCAGTTGTGATCAGCAGGGGGGATGGGTCGTAGTGGCCTTATGCACTGCGGCAGAATGATAACTTCACTGTATTAAAATTCTTTGTAACTTTGGATCTCATGTGCAAAGAACTGGAAATCATTCTTCCCTGTTCATAGCATACTGACATCATCAGTTCCTAGTATTTTCTGTTTTCTTTATTCCCATTCCCTTTCAAAGACAACGGTGTTAGCGAGTTTGATATTTGTCCTTAAATATTTATGAATCCTTGTAAAGTAGCTAGTGTTGTTTACATGTATACTAGTTTTTAATTTACCACATTGAAGTTAAATCTTGTTCTATTACTTTTTCCTTTTTCTTCTAATGATTTATTTATTTTTGGAGAGAGAGAGAGAGCGTGCATGTGTGTACATGCTCAGGGTAGAGGGTAGAGGGCACAGGGAGAGGGAGAGAGAGTCTCGAGCTGATTCAGCGCTGAGCAGGGAGTCTGACTCAGGGCTCGATCTAACAGCCCTGAGGTCAGGGCCTGTACCAAATCTGAGTCAGATGCTTAACGAGCTGTGCCACCCAGGCACCCTTGTTTTCTATTTTTCATTCACCAGTATGCTTTTCAGTTATGTTCATGTCTTATGTATAGAAAAGGTTTGTTGCTGGGACGCGTGGATGACTCAGGGTGTGATCCTGGGATTCAGGGATCGAGTCTCGCATTGGGCTCCTTGAGGGGAGTCTGCTTCTCCCTCTGCCTATGTCTCTGCCTCTCTGTCTCTCTCTGTGTCTCTCATGAATAAATAAATAAAATTTTTTTTAAGTTTGTTGCTTCCAACTACATACTATTCCATAACAGGCATATATCACATTTTATGTATAGATTTTCTTAAGAAAGGTCATCTGTGTTACTTCCAACTCCTTCCTACCACAAACCTCTATGTGATTCTTATCTGGTTTACCTCTAACGTGTTATCTTGAATCTGCCAACTTACCTATACTACCAAACCCTCGTTCAAGTCCTTTTACCTCTTCCCTGTACTGTTAAGCCCTCTTCCTTTATTCACTCTTCCTCCATGGGCAATCTTCCCTTTTTTTTTCCTTTTCATCTTCCATATAGCATTCAGAGTGACCGTTCTAAACCATAAACCTAACATAGGCCTCACACAGATCTTTAGCTGGAAAAGGGAATGTCTCGAGGTCCTTGGACAACACTTTGAGAACTGCTGCTCTTCTGTGCATTCTGAACCACCTAGAAGACACTTTGTAGTTACTCAGTAATGTCTGCTAACTACATACTTACTGGTCTTAGATTTGAAAATTTGGATCTGGCTTACCTCAGACAAGGTAGCACTGTTCCTTGAACTATGGGAGTTAAGAATCATGTTGCCTAAGTGAGACAGGACAACCGTGACACCAGGTTTAGGGAGAAGGCTAAGGGAGAGGGAAGATGGATCAAACGAGGGCCCTACAAACTGTTCTTTTCCTCCTGTTGTCTCAGGGATACTATTTAGTTACTGTCCCTCTGTCAGAGAAATAGGGAGGCCTGGACATACCTGGTTCCAGATCCAGGAGCTCTTCTGAAGGGTCATAGAACACATAGAACACATATTACTTTGACTACTTTCTTTTCTTTGATCAACCTAGGACAGAATGCCTATGTGGGCTGCAGAATGATCATGAATGGACTGCTTTCTCATTATAATGAAGTATAATAATTTTCTATGCTGCATTTGATCAACGATTGTAGTTGTTAGATTACAATCCCAATTCTGTTTTTATTATCAAGTTTCTTAGTTTTTGCATAGATAACCAACTTGTCTTCTGAGGATATAAATAATTAAAGGAACTTAACTCTAGATCCTCCTTTGTGGTATATATATCTATATATATCTATGTCGTATTAATAGCAGGCCCCAGTGCTCCATAAAGGATAATAGTTTCCAGTACACTATCCCTCACGATGACTCCTTAAGCGGTTCATCATCTGCCTCTTCATGTGAGCCAGTGAGTGATTTTCCAACATCCTTCCGAAAATCTACCTACTGGATGAAGATGAGAAGGGTCAAGCCAGCTGCTGCTTCCCGTGTCGAAGGTATCAGTATCTCTGTCATGTTTCAAAGGCAGAGTACTCCCCAGGGAGCTGTTGTAAATGGCTCTTAAAGTATTAAGTATCACATATGTGTTTCTCACATTTGTGTTAGGCTGCCACATACTATTCAGCTTTGTGAACTGTCCTTCTATCTTAGAGTGAAATTCTGCTAATCTTAGTCCTGTAGGTTAGACCGGTGTCAGCCTGTCCCCTAAAAATGATTTGAATCTCTTTCCCACTGTTCCAGTTTGATCCTCTGTCGATGCTTAGGGTGATTCTAGGTACAGTTGTCTTGGTGGGCATGGTGTCAAGGGTCCTGAGCAGCCCTTTTTCTGGAACAATTCTTCTCCTTCATTGTGAGCCTCTATTCAAGACCAAAGAAAGCACACTGCCTTCAGGCTCTTATTATTCATAGGGAACAATTGATCACTTGGGATGGAGAATAGTGGAAAGGGAAAAGGGGAGGTTGTGTAAGTTGGTGAAGTTTTACCAACTTCCCTAAAAATGTCACAGCACCTCTGTGAGGCCTGTGCTCGCTCGTGAGCTTTCTCTGTGGTGGTCTTGTGAGTGATGTTTTGAAGGCAGGCCAAGATGTTCACTTGGAAGCCATACTGAGGGTTTTGTTTGTTTTCCTCTGGTATTTCAGGGTCTGGTGGAATATCAACCAAAGGAAAAAGGAAACCCAGGCAGGAAGAAGATGAAGATTATGGAGAATTTCCTCAGAAGAAGCATAAGCTTTATGGTAAGGGAGTAGTGTGGCTCATTCTCTTTCCTTCGGTGCCTGGGCTTTATTCCTTAGAGGTGAAAGAGAGAAAGCCCTTGGGTTTTGACCCTTGGAACCCTAGTGAGCCTTTTGATTTCTTGGCAAGGAATGGCTTCCGTCCTGACCTTACCTGTTGTTTTTTTCTGTTACAACTTAAGAGGGTCAGTTGGTTGAGGGAGTGGGGCACAGGGTATCGGGAAGAGGAGGGAAGAGATTTTGGTAGTAGAGAAAGGGTAGCAAGGTGATATGTTAGGCTTCAAGTTTCTGTCTTGCGTCAGGGAGGAAGCAACGGCCTAAAACTCAACCTAATCCCAAATCCCAGGCTCGTCGTATTCGGAAGGAACCACCAGCTTATGCAGCAGGTATGTGTTCTGCTGGACGCTTTGGGTACCTAGTGCTCACACTCTTGGTGGTGGCGGCGGCGGTGGTGGTATTAAAGGAATGATGTAGCAGGGTTTCTTTAAGGAGGCAGTTCTTAAGGGCATGAGTTTGGAAACCAGTCAGACACTTGTTGAAGTTTGGCTCTTAATTAGCTTTCTGGCCTGCTGCCCTCTAGTTAACTTCTGCAAGCTTCAGTTTCCTTGCTCTCCATAGGGGTAATGAAGGCAGTCAGAATTTTCGAGGAGACTAAATGGGATAAAAACACTTCACAAAGTCTCAAGCACACCCGTGGCTTGCTATATATCTCGGATCCCGCTGTTAGATGCTGCTAGGAAAATGTTGCCCGTTGTCAGTCATACCTCAATAAAGCTAGAAAAAACATGACGCTTAGAGCTTTTGAGTGGTTCTTAGATGGTTTTTATCATGGGGAACGAAGTAGGAGTTTCAGAAACTCCTGATTGTCTGAAAACAGATTATCGGTAGAAATCATCTGCAGCAAGGTTCTTTTCCCCAGGAAGGGGGGCAAACCATTTTATGATACTTTTACTAAGCTTCAGGATTGTGCTTTTCCTGTCTAGAGAATTGTGAAGATTATGAGGTGTTCCTTTTTCTCCTTTGTAGGCAGTTTGGAGGAACAATGGTACTTAGAAATCGTGGATAAAGGCAGTGTCTCCTGTCCTACTTGCCAGGCGGTAGGGAGGAAGACAATAGAGGGCTTAAAGAAACACATGGAGACCTGCAAACAGGTTAGAGATTTTGTGGCATTTTGTGATGGTTGTGATCTTTTCCCATACCTTAGACATCTTTCGCCGTCAGGTATACTGATTACACAGGAGAAAAAGCAGCATTGTGTTATAAGGAAAAAACATAAGCTTTTGAGTCTGACAGACTTGGGTTTGAATCTTCACTCAGCCACTCACTGTCCTTTAGCTTTTCAAGTGTGGGCCTTGGTTTTCTCATTTAAAAAAAGAGAGAGAAAAAGGGCATGTGGCTCAGTGGTTTAGCATTGCCTTGCCTAGGGCGTGATCCTGGAGACCTGGATGAGTCCCAAGTCCCACGAGGGGGTCTCCCTGCATGGAGCCTGCTTCTCCCTCTGCCTGTGTCTCCGCCTCTCTCTCTCATGAGCAAATAAATAAAATCTTAAAAAACAATAGAGAGAAAATTATTTTGTGTAGTCCCAGAGAGCTTAAGAAAGAAATAAAGTGCTAAGTGCCCATCCCATCACTCCACAAATAATTGACACTTAGTAAATGGTAATTCTTGCTACTTTAAACACGCGTTGCAGTTTACTTCTTTGCCTTTGAGGACATGACACTGAGGTTGTGGGATTTTGAGATTCATTGACTGTTGAGGTTGGGAAATGAGGGTAGATACAGACAAGAGCTTCTGAGTAGGATTTTGTAACATTCTGTTTCTCCGTTGAACAGCCTGGCACTGAGCAGTCTTTCTTCCTCGTAGGAAATGTTTACTTGTCATCATTGTGGGAAACAGCTTCGTTCACTGGCAGGGATGAAGTATCACGTCATGGCAAATCATAATAGCTTGGTAAGAGTATCTTCGGTACCGTATGAGTGAGCCTGTGTGTTTGGTGTTTGGATGTCTTTACACAGATGAGTGTGGATAACCCAGCGGAGGTGCCTAGGTTCTGGGGCTTTATAGGGGTCTAAAAACACCCTTTCGATAGAAGAGTTTCACAAAATGAAATCCTTGTTGGGTATTTGTGTGTTTCGGTTAGCCTCAAGGGTTCATCTCCTGGAAGATAGAGCCTCTGAACTCTTACTTGCATTGCATTTGCTTCCTTGTCTGTCTAGGAGAAGATGGAGAAAGCCAGGAGTCAGATAACTAAGCTTCATGGGCATCGGCTTAGGTGCTAGTCCAGTCCTTGATTCTCCTATGATATAATTTTTTTCTGTATCTGTCTTTTCTGTGAATCATCTTCTTGTCTGCTTCTCTTGCTTTCTAGCCCATTTTGAAGGCGGCTGGAGATGAAATAGATGAGCCAAGTGAGAGGGAACGGCTCCGAACAGTTCTAAAGAGACTGGGAAAGCTCAGGTGCATGCGTGAGGTAAGAGCCCAGGGACAGCACCTCCTTCGGCCTGGAGTCTTGAGTCAACGTCTTTCTGTTACTTTCTTCCATTTCTCCTCCTTCTCTCTTGTAGACTTTGTCTGTGTCACCTTACAGCATAAGAGTGGCTCCTGCTTTTCCAGGTGTTTTGAATTCATTAATAGTTCTTTATTTTCTTTCTCATCTCCACAAACTTATTTTTCTCCCCTTTCCCTTTGTTTGGAGGTGTTTCTTGACCATCTTTCTTTAGTGTGATGAAAAGGCTCCTAGCAGTCTCCTTGTGAGGAGCTTTGGCATTGCTGGGTGTTTGCTACTGGGGTGGAGTTGAGTCACAGACCAGAGAGGACGCTCTGCCACGGAGGAGATGGACAGTGCTAGTTTACTGAATGTCGACTCAACTGATTGAACATGACTCTTGGTGGTAGACAGGACAGATGTTAGGGCAGGGACAAGGGACAAGGAAGGGTTGTGAGAATGGGAGATGTTGGAGAGGGTCTAGCGATATCAGAGGATCTGTGTGATGATTGAGTCCTTTGTGGCTGTTTAGAAATTGAGAAATCACGTCAAAAGATGTAAGATTATAGTTCAGGCCTCTCTCCTGTATTCAGAGCTGTTCTAGTAGCTTCACCAGCATCATGGGATATCTGTACCATGTCAGAAAATGTGGCAAAGGGGCTGCAGAGCTGGAGGAGATGACCCTGAAGTGTCACCACTGTGGAAAGCCATATAAATCGAAGGCTGGACTTGCGTATCACCTGAGGTCAGAGCATGGGCCTGTGAGTACTGATTACTTTCCAGACCCTGTTTGGGGATCTATTTTGTGATGACTACTTACCTTACATCCTCCCATACATCTTTGGTTCTTCATTTGTATCCCTTTTTAATCTTTGAATGCTTTTGTTTTCTCTTCCATGTTTTTCCTTGGTTCTCTTATTTCTGCCTTTTGAACATAATTAGGTTAGAGAGATCCAAGTTCACTGTATAATCTGTGCAGAAGTAAACTCATTATTATATTTTTAAAGCCTAAGGCATTCCCCTTTAGCTAGAAATTTTGTGGAATTCTCTGTCCAGTTCTTCTTCCATCCCCATTGTTTTGTTTTGACTGTTTTTTTCTTGATTTCTAGGCTTGCCCCGCTCCTGTTTTGTTATTTTTTTTCAAGGTAAATTAATGGTCCCATTTTTTAGTGTACAGTTTATAAGAGTTTTGACAAATCCATACAGTTGTATAGTCCCCACCCCACAGTCAAGATATAGAACGATTTGACCACTGATCAAATCTATTGATCTATTTTCTGTCCCTATAGATATGCTTTTAAAAATTAGATCTACAGAGTACCTTCACATCAGCGTGTAGATTAGTGTTTGATTGAATAACTGGTTGACTGTAGCCTATTCAGGGTAACACATCGAAAACCCATCACACGCAGCATGACATAAATTTCCTTCTTCGGTTTCTTCTAGAAATTTTAGAGTAATATGGTTTATATTTGATTCATTTTCAGTTACTTCTTATATGTACTATGAAATATGGATTGAGGTTCATGTCTTTGCACATGGCTATGTCTTGACCCTTAATTACTTCACTTATTGAAGCAACAGATTTTATCCTAAGAAGTTTTTTTTTTTTTTTTTTTTTACCAATAAAATATGCATTAAGGTGGTGGAGCTTTATGCTAATGGAAAGCAAGCTAGTAAATAGCTTTGGTACTTAGAGCAGGAGGGATAGCTTTGAATCATTGGCTCTGATGGAACCCCACTTCTCAGGCCTGTGTTTTGCTATGTCTCATTCTTGCAGATCTCATTCTTTCCAGAGTCAGGACAGTCAGAGTGCTTAAAAGAGATGAGCCTGGAGCCAAAGAGTGGGGGTCGAGTTCAGAGGCGTTCTGCCAAGATAGCTGTGTACCACCTGCAGGAGCTGGCTTCTGCTGAACTGGCCAAGGAATGGCCTAAGAGGAAGGTGCTTCAGGATTTGGTACCTGATGATCGGAAGGTAAAGTAGAAACTTGTATTAATTTAGAACCATGTCTAATACTATGCTTATGTACGGAAAAGTAAATGCACTTGAGTACATGATAAATGATATTTTACTTCCTTATTTTTAGAGATGGGATATGTTTAATCCACTTTCAGTGTTTGGATTCATGTGGGTCCTAGAGAGACAGTCTGTTCCAGAAGTTTCTTAAGGAACCCCGTTATTTCTGGTCTACTTCCCGAGGGAACCAGAATTCCCAGATTAGTCTTTTGCTTAGTTGTTGCCCAGTATGTTTCCACTTTGTTAGTTCACGTGTGGGAGTCTATATTTAGTTAATGCTTTCCATTTGTTTTTCTAGCCACAGAACTCCTCTCCCCACGCACTCTTTTTTCCAAATGAAAGCTTATCTAAAACACCAGTATGTGAAATAACTGAAAATGGAGTCACTCCAAATAACTAGAGGTAGTGAGCCCAAAGCCTTGTCTACTTGGCCTTCTCTTTGATACTTTTATCATTACCTCCATGGTTCCAAGTGTACTTGTGAGTGGTATAGAACCCAGCTTGGAAGCCTTTGGGGTTTTTTGTTCATTTGTTTTTTGTTTAAATCATTTATGTATTTGACAGAGAGAGAGCACAAGCAGGGGGAACAGCAGAGGGAGAGGGAGAAGCAGGCTCTCCGCTGAGCAGGGAGCCCAATGTGGGGCTCAATTCTAGGACTCTGGGATCTTCTTGACCTGAGCTGAAGGCAGACGCTCAAAGGGCTGAGCCACCCAGGTGCCCCTGGAAGCCTTTGGTGTAAAACAGATCAAAGACCAGAGGAAGATTATTTGGCCAAGAGGAGACAAGGGGTATATGACTTAATGGGAGTAGTCATTCGAAAGCTTGGAGGATATACAGTAAGGATTAAGATTAGAGCTAAGGACCTATTACTCTCCATGGTATGGAGAAGAATAGTTTATATTTGGCCTAGGGCTTTCACTCATGCGAGGGGAATGTCATAAGTTATATGAAATTTGTCAAATCTCAGAAGTTGATACCTCTTATTTGGCCTAAAAATCAGTCCAAGGAGTAATTGAACATCAAGGCATCCTGTCTTGTTTCAGACTTATTGCTATTTCCTGCCACAGGCTAAAGTATATGGTTATCTAAATTCAGTTTAAATGTGAATTTTATACATTGGTAAGTACATTGTGATATTATAGTCCATCTGTGCATTGTCTGTGGTAGGGAATTTGACATAAATATTTGTTAGCTCATCGATAAGTTTTGATAGTCTTATCTAGCAGCTACTTTACTAAAATCATCTGTTTTATGTTTCAACATTGTGTAGGCTAAGGGAATTATTTTGTTTTTTTAAACTAAAAATTCAGGGGAATCTGGGTGGCTCATTCTTAAGTGTCCAGCTCTTGATTTTGGCTCAGGTCATGATCTCAGGGTTGTGAGATTGAGCGAGCCCCATGTCAGGTCTGTACCGGGCATGGAGCCTGCGTAAGATTCTCTCCCTTTCCATATGCCCCTCCCCAATAAAATAAAATAAAATAAAATAAAATAAATAAAATATGATAAGATAAGATAAGATATTAATTTGTTTGAATAGATTATACATTGTTGTCGTTAAAGTCAAAATGAGGGATCCCTGGGTGGCGCAGTGGTTTGGCGCCTGCCTTTGGCCCAGGGCGCGATCCTGGAGATCCGGGATCGAATCCCACGTCGGGCTTCCGGTGCATGGGGCCTGCTTCTCCCTCTGCCTGTGTCTCTGCCTCTCTCTCTGTGTGTGTGACTATCATAAATAAATAAAAATTAAAAAAAAAATTTAAAAAAAAAAAAAAATAAAGTCAAAATGATGATTAACATTGAGGTATCTCACTCTCACCCCATCCTTGTTGTCTTGTCTCCATGGTTAACCATTCTCACTGATTTCTGTGTCCTGCCAATGTTTCTTTTCTTTTCTTTTTTTCCCTGCCATTGTTTCTTGATGCAAACACAAGCAATATTGTCTAGGAGAAGCTCTTGTGTTTTCCTTTACTCTCACGCTACTACACACTTAAGCTTTGACATCAGATGTGTGGGTTTGTCCCATATAGAACAATTTTCTATCACCACCTGGGCATCCTACAAATAATTCAGTTCGACATTATCTATCTGGGCTTGGTGGCAGATCCTACAAGTTAAGGGCTCAGTCCCACCCACAGGACTGCTCCAATTTCAGATGCCAATCGCAAGTCTCAGTTTGCCACCTGTGCTTCTGAGTGATTGGCTATAAATTGGGGTTCCTATAACCCCATCCTTGGTTTTGGTAATTTGCTAGAATGGCTCACAGAACTCAGGGAAACACATTTACTGGTTTGTTATAAAGAATATAATAAAACCTACAGATGAAAAGTCAGATGAAGAAATTTATATAGAATGAGGTCTGGAAGAGTCCCAAGCACAGTAGGAGCTCCTGGCCCTGTGGAGTTGGGGGTGCATCACCCTCTTGGCCATATATATGTTCATCAACTCAGAAGTTCTTTGAACCCCATAATCTTGGGATTTTTATGGAGGTTTCATCACATAAGCACGATTGATTAACTCCATTTCTAGCCCCTTTGCCTTTCCAGAGAATGGGGAATTGGTCTGAAAGTGCCAAACTTTATCCCTTAAATGGATTTGTCTAGTGTTTTCTTGAGATTAGATTGAGGGTTATATGTTTTTGTCAAGAATACCACTGGAAAAAAAAAAAAAAGAATACCACTGAAGCAGTGTTACACCGTATCAGGAGGTATGTGATATTGATGTGTCTTTTTACTGATAACTTTGATCACTTGATGAGGGTGTTGCCCAATTTTCCCCAAGGCAAAATTATACTTTCCCCTCTTGTAATTAGTGAATATTTTGGGGGGAGATTGACAGTATGCAACTAGCCTGAGTCTTTTCATACTTCTGCCCACTTACCATAGCATCCATCAGTGATTCTTGTCTGCAATAATTATAATTATTATTATGGTGGTTTGCCTAATGATGGTTAGTGTTTCCATTATTTCTTCCATAGTTATTAATTGGAACTCTCCTGTGAGAAAGATATGTCCTTTTATTCTATAAATCTGTTTATATCCATATGGACTCATGGATATTTTATTGTAGCATTATCATCCAGTGCTATTATTGTTGTTCATTTTATAGCTCAAATTGTCTCAGATTTGGCCATCAAGAGCTCTTCCAAGTACGTACCTATGTCTTTTTGAGATGCTTCTATCATTTTTTGAGCCCCCCCTTTTTTTTGTTTTGACACCTCGAGACGCTATAGGGTCATCTCATATATTCCCTGTCCCAGCCCTGGAATCAACCATTTCCCTAAGGAATCCTGATTTCTTTTATTGGAGAATAATATATTTAAAAACCAAGATTTGAATGCTACGTGTACTCATTCCTGCTAGGGTGTCATTGTTTCTGGGCCCTCTTAGTGGATAGAGCTAGGATATATATGTATATTCATGGATACATGCACACACTCTGTTCTTTTTTTAAAAAAGATTTTATTTATCCATTTATTTAACGGAGAGAGAGAGAGAGAGAGAGAGAGAGAAGAGAAAGAGGGAACAGGGGGAGGAGCAGAGGGAGAAGGATAAGCAGACTCCATGCTGAGTGCAGAGCCTGACGTGGGCTTGATCCCATGACCCTGAGATCATGTCCTGTGCCAAAATCAAGAGTCGGATGCGTAACTGACTGAGCTACTCACTCGCTCCCCTCTGTGTTCATGTCTGTCTGTGTATCAGTGTACAGATTTAAGGCCATGATACCTTCAATTCCAATCCAACACAAGTTTCATTCTTGCCTTCCTCTGTGCTTATTTCTAACTTCTTTCTCCAACAGCGAGAGACCTCTCATAGAGTACAATATATTTACTTACTTGCTTAGTCCTAGTATAACCTAGTTTCTCAATTGTTAACCCATACCCCTGTAAAAACAGATTTACTACCTAGAGAACAATATTTGTTATAGTTCTTTTAATCTTTAGCCTTACAGTATATAGTCAAAGTACTATTTTACAGTTACTTAGATTGGCTCCTTCCTCACTTCATTTGGTTTCCCATTTATCATCATTAGCTTCATGTGTTACTCTTACTACATTTTGGGTTCCCCCTACATCCCATTTAATTGAAATGAGTAATTTATCTTGGGAGTATGTGAAACGTTACCGTGGTTCTAAAAGTCAGACCTGTACCAAAAGTCTTCTTAGAGAAGGGCTACTGCCCTCTTCCCAGCTGTCCCATTCCTAATACCCTTTTATTTCCATCCCGTTCCCACCCTGCTCCCTGCAAAGATAATCATGCTCAGTAGTTTCTGGTTTATCCTTCTTATATTTTTATGGGATGCATAACCAGATAATGCATATTTTCTTATATTCTTTTCTTTCTTACATAGATGCTTTTTTGCGTTTTGCTTTATTTCACTTCAAAGTCTGTCCTAGAAATCACTCCGTATGTGCTCATAGATTATTCTCATTTCTTTTTTTATAGCTGCATAAATATGATAGTTTATGAATATAATAGCTTATGTAAATATTCTGCTATCACTATAAAAAGATTTTATTTTATTATTTAAAGATTTTATTTATTTCCTCATGAGACACACACACACACACACACACACACACACAGAACCAGAGACACAGGTAGAGGGAGAAGCAGGGTCCACGCAGGGAGCCTGACATGGGACTGGATCCCAGGTCTCCAGGATCACGCCCTTGGCTGAAGGTGGCGCCAAACCGCTGAGCCACTGGGCTGCCCCACTATAAAAGGATTTTAGATGGTCCCACATACACTAGCTGCAGAGGAGAGGAGGTACTTAGAAATAAAGCCAGCTCTGTGCTCTGATTGCCTTTATAGATTTGTCAGCGTTTCCTGAAGGTGACTTCCTTACTTCCCCTGACCTCTATGGGCTTTGGCTCTGTTTTTCTATCTCAGTATCTGTTTCAGATACTTAAATTTTTCAAGCAGGAGGAGGATTGTTTTCTCACTGGAAACATAGCTATTACTTGTGGTGGGCTTTGTGAGAACTGTCTCTCCAAGTGCCAGCTGTCTCTTTTCTGGAAACTACAGTTGTTGTTTTAAGAAGAGACTAACCTGGAGCTCCAGTGGCACAATCGGTTAGCGCGCGGTACTTCTGCGAAGAGACTAACCTGTGTCAAAGCACATGAAGGAAAGTGCGAGGAATAGTTAATTCTCGTCTCAGGCAGTATCAGGAAAGATAGTGTATTCCATCCCCTGAGTTCTCTCACATCTTTTATTTTCACATTTTTGTTTTAAAATGTTTCACATTTTTAGATTGAATCTCAGTGTTTGTGTTTGAATTTAAAATTACCCAGAATTAACGTGACACTTCTGAAGAAAAAGGAGAAATGCAGAGGAGCAGGGAAAAGACATTAAAACCACTCAAAATTCCACCACCCAGAGATGACTACTGTTCACGTGTTCATTTATAACCTTCTAGCGGGATCCCAGGGTGGCGCAGCGGTTTGGCGCCTGCCTTTGGCCCAGGGCGCGATCCTGGAGACCCGGGATCGAATCCCACGTCGGGCTTCCGGTGCATGGAGCCTGCTTCTCCCTCTGCCTGTGTCTCTGCCTCTCTCTCTCTCTCTCTGATTATCATAAATAAATAAAAAAAAAATAACCTTCTAGCCTTTTCCCAATTTACATATATTTCTATCAAATGTATTATATATGTGCGTGTATGTATGTACCCTGTGTTTAAGTATACCTATAATAAGTATAATTTACATGTAGTACATATTTGTTTCCCTGGTTTTTTTTGTAAAAGTGTTTTAGCTGTATAAATGCTCTGTCAGTAGCTTTTTCAAATTATAGATGAAGTGCCATATCTGAAAGTCTCCTTCCCTCTGTTAAAAATCAAAACATTCTAAGATTAAACTATAGAAAATTATACTTACCAGTGTTAGGTACTTTGTACTAATTTGTACTAATTTGTACTAATTTGTACTTAAAGGATCATACCTACTACAGTTTTTTTGCACATGAAAGGATGCTTGTCGAACTCCAGAATTACATAACCTGAAGAGTTGGGTGTGAAACTTTTGGGGTATTTTGGTTGGAAGTTGGGTTCCTCCAATAAAATATTTCTTGTCTTGTAGTTAAAATATACTCGCCCTGGGCTGCCTACCTTCAGCCAGGAAGTGCTACACAAATGGAAGTCAGATATCAAGAAATACCATCGCATTCAGTGTCCTAACCAGGTGGTTCTTTCTCATTTATTTATTCCGTAAATGTTAATCAAACTGCTGTTTCAGTTATTTATTCCATCATGATGAAGTACATGAACCTCAGTGGCTTAAAACCTCAGTTATTTTATTTGTTCAGAATTCTATAAATCAGTAATTCTGCCAGGGCTCAAAGAACATTCTCCTGTCATACGTGGCATCAACTGGGATCATTCGTGGGTTGTATTTAGCCGCAAGCTCAGATGGGACCGGATGTCCAAGATGGCTTCTGTGCAGCCAATTGAGCTCCTTCAGGGTGTAGTGGGTTACCAGCAGGGCACATGGCAACTGACTTTTCAGAGTATCCCAGGAACATGAAGATGGAAGCCGCAGAACTCTTAAGGCCTAGCTTCAGAATTTGTTCAACATCATTTCCATGGGATTCTATTGGTCAGAGGAATTACAGGGTTCACCCAGATTCAAAGGGAGGGTAAGTAGCATCCACTTGTTGCAGGAAAGAGTGGCAGAGAATTTCCAGCCATCTTCTAATCTACCACAACCATATGTGCAGAACTTTGGGAAGAAGCAAATATACAAGAAATAGGAGACACATTTGTACTGAAGAAGGCAGATTTAAAAAAAATACCTAACTGCAATTTTCTGTGTCAGAGAAAAAGTAGCAGGGAAGAGAATATCTTAAGCTTTTCTCAACAACTTGTTCACCATTTGTTTTTAAACCTTTCTTTGGTTTTTCTTTTTTGCTTTTGTGGCTTGTGTGTGAATTTTTTTCCTGTTTGGTTTGTAATGTGATTTATTGGGCTTCTTCCTCCAAGTGTAGGGCTGGTCAGTGTAAATAAATGGCCAGGTTGCTAAGAGAAGGATGCGGTTTGCTATAGTTTTCATGGATTTCTTCTTCTCTTTTTCAGGGTTGTGAAGCTGTCTACAGTAGTGTATCAGGCCTTAAAGCTCACCTGGGCTCTTGTACCTTGGTTTGTAACTTTCTGAACAATTTATCTTACCATGACCTCTAAAATAGTCTGACATGGAAGAGAATTCAGTTTAGATGAACAGCTAGTTGTCCTGTTTGCCATTATCTTCAGAGGCTGGCTTAGTTTTTTCATGTCCCAAAGATGCTTGGTCTGTTATTAGAGGGGATGCCCGGCTATGTTCAAGATACAGGAAAAGCCAACATAGCCTTAAGTCTTATCAATTAAGGAATTTGGAGAAATATATTATTAATTTTGAGTCTCTACCAGGGATTTAACATCTTCCACCTGAGCCTCTCCTGCCTTGGGCCTTCCCTATCTTATCGGGCCTTAAACTTTCTTGAATCAACTTACATGTGTTTATCTGGATTGTTGAAGATCCTCTACTCCCATCTGAATTATACTGGCCTCTGCGGATGAGAAGTAGGCTCTATCTGCTGTCAGGCAGACGGCTGTTCACCTCACTGAATCTTTTTTGTGTTGACCCAGGTGCCCTACAAACTGCTGTAACTTTTTAATTCCCATTCAGAAATATCTCTTCACACAAAAGGAGCCCCATGGGCACTCAGAGCTTCAGGAGTCAAGGCAGCACGGGAGTGTAGACATCCAAACCCCATCTGTCCAGGAATGCTCAGGAGTTTGTCATCATGATCTTAGTTTCAGAGTCCTTAACCTAGATGTTGCAAATGATACTTCTCAAATTCTGGATGTCCAAGGCACTCTTTGAAACAGTGGATTATAGTGGGAAGAATTATATGCATTGGTGCCTCTGTTTAACCTCAGGAGTCCAAGAGTCATTCCAAGAGAACCAGGAAGTGAAAGAAACAAGGACGTTAGAAAAGTGTGACGTGTTTTATAGCAAAAGAAGGAGAACCTCAGTTTGTGTTGAAGGGGTGGGGGTATTATGTATAGAATTATAAGTAGGATAGATTTATATTGGTGACAGTCTGCCCAACCGAGTTTTCCTAAATGTATTGCTGTTTTGGATTTTCTTCCTTCTTTGCTGAAGTAAAATCCCCGCCCTTTCTGTCTCTAACAATCTCCCACATGGCTCAGGTATGTGTTCCTGAATTTACGAGTAATTCCCTTTTCTTTCTCTCTTGAAAACAGGGAAACTTTGTGGCTGGAAAATACAAGTGTCTTCTGTGTCAAAAAGAATTTGTGTCAGAGAGTGGTGTCAAGTATCACATCAACTCTGTCCATGCTGAGGTGAGGTCCCTGCTTTCCCCGCCATGTTTTTGTGATCCTGTGGAACCCATAGGTATGCGCCCCCAAAAGTGGATTTTGTGCGTTTTTATGGGCTGGGACTGTTGAGGAAAGGAATTTGAAAGTGCTTACCAGAGACAGAGTTAAAATACTTTGTGAAATTAGATGTGTAATTGTATTTTTATGTGAAAGCATTTGAAATCACTGTAAGTGTGAGCACCCCTGAGCTCTTGTGATTCTTTTAAATTCAGTTAAACCAAGAGTTTGGGCGCTGGGCTGAGTTTATAGCTGTAGAATTCTTGTTTTATAGCAGTCTCTATACTTCTGTTTTCTCCTATTCTAAGGCCTTTGAGCAATCTGTTTTTAATGTTTCAAATACTGCAAAGAAACAACTGTAAGGGACATTAGTGAGACAAACTGGAGAAATTGGAATACTGGCTCTATTAAATAACAGTGATGAGTCAATGTTCATGTTCCCAAATGTGATCATTGTGTTGTAGCTGTGCAGAAGGCCCTTGTTCTCAGGCAGATCTATGCTAAAGTTTTTAGGGATGAAATATGTCTACAAATAACTTGCAAATGGTTCAGCAAAATGAAGAGAAGAAGGAAGAAAGGGAAGAGAGGTAGGCAATGGTAAATCTAGGATTCATTGAATTCTTGTCACCTTTCTTAAGGTCTGTAAATTTTCAAAATTAAAGAATCAATTCTGGGGTGCCTGGGTGGTTCAGTGGTTGAGCGTCTGCCTTTCACTCAAGTCATGATCCTGGGTTCCTGGGATGGAGTCCCACATTAGGCTCCTCATAGGGAGCCTACTTCTCCCTCTATGTCTCTGCCTCTCTCAAAAAAAAAAAATTAAAAAAAAAATAAATAAATCGATTCTGCATAAAAATACTTTAAATACAGAAAGTCAAGAGGTTTCTCCTGGGGCAAGTTTTTAGTTATACAGGTCGATAGAGAAATTGTTTCCTGTGTAATTAAATACCTGTATTTCAAAAGCTTAAGGAGTAGAGTGTGCATTCTCTTGGAATATCTTACCGCAGAAGCTATTGTGGCCTAATAAGGAAAAAGAGCAAACACCTTCAACTGTTCTCTGCCCTCACATTTAATACTTCCTAACGCTGTGGGCTGTAGTTAGTGTCATGAAATGTGGTCTCTGTTGTTTTACAGGTTTAAGCTTTGGAATCGCTTTCTATATCTGAGATTTCCTCTGGAAGGCAGTCAGTCATATCTTCCTCATAGTAATAGTGTACCTTTTTATACTTCAGGAAGTATTTAAAAGATAATTAATCTCCTAACAAAATCCAGCATTTATGTAGTGAGCCTATTTCTCCAATTTCTTCTTAAAAAGTTGGAACCAACAAATTTCACTTGGTTTGGAGTTTGTTCTCCAAGTCTTATTAGTTCAATGATTTGTGCCTATATTTATAAATTATACGTGGTGGTAAAACATTTTCACTCTGTTCCTCCCTCTCTGCCTCACATATTCTGAAGCTACTTTTTTTCAACAGAAATTTTCAAATACATGAAAATGGACAGAATAGTATAATGAACAGCCTAACAGACATCAGTGTGTGGCCAATCTTCTTTTCCTTTATAATCACACCCACTTTTCTTGTCCCTTAAAGGCTTATTTTTTTTTAAAGGCTTATTTTAAAGCAAATTCCACATACCATGTCAACTGTCACTGCTTCTTTTGATGTGTGTGTGTAAAATATAAGGACTTTTAAAATTGTATAACCACAATCATCATTACACCTAAAAAATTAGCAAAGAATGGTTCTTGAATATCGTCATATACCTCGTCATTATTGAAATTATTTAAATTTCCTTGATTGCCTCTTAATTTTTTTTCAGAGTTGGCTTGTTCAGGAGGAAGAAAAAAAAAATGTCCGTATACTGTATATTTTAATCTAGAGTGCTATCCAATAGAAATGTAATGTGAGTCATGTATATAATTTCAGATTTCCTAGTACACACATTCTAAAAATGTTTTTAAATAAAAATAGGTGAAATTAATGTTGATAATATATTTTATTTAACCTAGTATACCTAAAATATTATCTTTTAAACATGTAGTTAATAAAAACTAATGAGATACTTTACATTTTTTCATACTAAGTCTATGCAATACAATGTGTATTTTTTATATTGAAAGCATATCTCAATTGCAGGTCTAGAAGTTTCCCCTACTCCCCCTTTTTATTTGTTGGAGAAACGGTCATTTGTCACATGTGTATACACATTTTGGATTTTGCTGAGTGCATTCCTGTCGTGGTGGTGGTCCTCTCTCCGGGTATTTCCTATGAATTGGTAGTTAGACCTAGAAGACTGATCAGATCACTTGATTTCAATTGAAATCCTTCCTTCCTTCCTTCCTTCCTTCCTTCCTTCCTTCCTTCCTTCCTTCCACAAGAGTGTTTCATAATTGGATTTCATGTTCCTCAACTGTTAATTTTTTTAAACTGAGTCTCAGAGAGGTTGAGTAATTTCCCCATGGTCACAGAGCCAGAAACAGCTGAGATTTGCACTAAGATGGTCTCGCTGTAGAATTCATGCCCTTAACCACTATACTTTCGTGAAATAAAAATGTCCTATGGCCCGAAGCTTTATAGCTCATGAGATTTTTACAAAGGAGATAAATAAGTAGGATGATGCTAAGTGAACAGACTTTGTAGTTCACTTACTGAAGTATGAAGTACCCCAAATCGTGTGCTACACAATAAATGCTTGTAATGACTACTCACTATTCTGTATTGAATTTCTCCCATTTAAAGTACAGAATTATAAGCCCTGGTTCCCTATCCGTTTCCTTCTTACTGTGTTCTGCCCTAGCCGTGCCTTTTAGAAAGTCTTCTCACACCCAGGGCGCCTGGGTGGCTCACTCAGTTGAGCATGGGATTCTTGATGTCATCTCAGGTCATGATCTTAGGGTCGCGGGATCGAGCCCCAGCCTAGGGCTCCATGCTTGGTGGGAGGGGTGGGTATCTGCTGGAGATTCTCTCTTGCCCTCTGCCCCTCCCTCTCCTCGTGCTCTCTCTCTCTGTCAAATAAATAAGTAAATCTTTCAAAAAAGAAAGAATTTCTTCCCCCACCCATTCCTTGTGCTCTCTACTGTGTATTGACTGGATGATTTTTCCATTTTGCCTCTGTAGGACTGGTTCGTCGTAAACCCAACCACCACCAAAAGCTTTGAAAAGCTAATGAAGATAAAGCAGCGGCAGCAGGAAGAAGAAAAGCGGAGACAGCAGCACAGGAGCAGAAGGTCTCTGCGAAGGCTGCAGCAGCCAGGCATCCAGCTGCCTGAGGCGGAGCTGAGTCTTAGAGTAGGGAAGGATCAGAGGAGGAATAACGAGGAATTGCTAGTGTCGACCTCCTATAAGGAACCGGAGCAGGAGCCAGTGCCAGCACAGTTCCAGAAAGTAAAGCCCCCAAAGACTCATCATAAACGAGGAAGGAAATAGGCAGGCAGTGTGAAAGCTCCTAGGAGAGCAAACGGGATGCTGTTGTCACGGGGACCTGTGCTGGGAGGACTGAGTCACTGGGGCTGAGCGAGGAGAAATGTACTCTTTTGTTTGGGTAAGGCTGTGACTTTCTCAGCTCCTTCCTCCTGTGTAAATTTCACTGTTCTCTCTATTTATTCACTTTGACCCCACTCCCCCCCCACCCCCACCGCCTCTTGGGTAGGTGTTCCTGCTATTCCTCATTGGAGTCCTCTTGTTTTTCTCTCATTTTGCCCAAAGAGCTCCCTCTTCAGTCCAACTGTGGGCCCTTCTTGCTCTGTACAAAACTGAGAAACCCATTTGGTTGTCCTTTTCCTTCCCGGGCTATAGAATGTTCTCGGACTCTCCACTGATTAGTCATTCCATCATTTCGCTTATAAAACAATTCCAAATTAATTTTTAAGAATCATACTGATTTATCATTTTGTATTTGTGATATAACAATCCTAGAAGCTAGAACTGTTGTCACTCATGTAATAAGCTTATCCTGTCTCCCTGGGTAACAGATTTTATGGAGGCCGTTTGTTCTCTCTCAATGTGGTTTTAGGATTGAAAGTAAGAAAATGGACTTAAGATGAAAAAGCTAGAACCTCCCTATGCTGGTTTTACTGGGAAGTGTTTCGTTTGTCCCAAGTAGCAGTGACTGGCTAGACCCCCAAGCATGAAAAGCAGCCCAAACATCAAAATGTCCCAAACATGAAAATGGTGGGAAAGCAGGAAGTAGACGAAGCAATAAATACTGCCTTGACTTTCCTAGGGCTTGAGTCCTCATCTGTTGCTATGATCAGTGTCCTCTGGGCGCTTGTCCCCCACCCCCAACCCCCCAACCTCCAACCCCCAGTTTTAAGGATGAAGAATTACCGCATTGCACTTGATGTTTTGACACAGAATCCTAGTGTTCCTAGTAATGCCAGACTGGCAGCCAAGGGGCACATTCCGTCTCCCCTGGGCTTGACCTCACTTGTTAGTCTACACCATGCTAAGTCCTTATTCCTCCCCTCAGCCGACGTCTGTCTTTTGGAGTTTTCTGAGAATATAGTCCTCTGTCCTCTTTTGTATGTGGCGTTTATCCTCTTTATATCTTGAGACTTGACACCAGATGTAGGTATTTCTCTGGTGTTGGAAAGAAAAATTCCTTTTCTGTACCTCATGCCTACCTGGTAATGTCTAGTGGGCTACTTTTCTTCTTCAAGGCTGGCTTTCTCTGGAGCATTGTTTAGAACAGCTCTGTTGTGTTTCTAGATTCTCTTCCCCTCTTCCATAAATATTGGTCTTATATATTCTTGCCAACTTTTGTGGCATATGCCACATAAAAAGCAAGGGCCCTTAACCCTGATATGGATAAATACTACCTTTTCAAATTCTGAAAGGCTGTTACTGCTCTTTAACTCTGTATTCTGTGCTGCTCCACATAGCTTTAAAATGTGGGCTTTTGTGAAGACCACTTTCAAACAAGGGAGCATTGAAACCAGATTTGGATACTGCCAGATAGATAGTTTTGAAACAGGTCAAGGACGTGGTATGTCCAGTCTACCTTTTCATTGGCAGTTGCACCCTTGAAACCCTTTCGGTAGGTGAGGATTGTCAGGGAGGAGAAATGAAGAAGCTATATTAATTTCTGGTGAGTAAGACTTGGGGAATGTTGGGCAATGACAAAAGAAATAAATGACTGTCGGTTAGAATGATGTTTCCAGTTGTTCATTGACTCCAACCTGCTGCCCGACTTGCCGACACAGTGCCGACACTGTGCATGGGGATAAGAAGATGGCTAGACATGGGAGTGGGTTTGAAATAAGTACCAAATGCGGTGTCTCAGTAGTATTTTAGTTCCTGAAATGTGTTGGCTAAAACGAGTAATTTGTTTGAGGTTAAAGTGAATTAGTATAGGAAACTTGTCCAGTCTCATCTAGGGCCATTGTAGGCACTTAAAAAAAAATTTTCCTTCCTGGGGTGCCTCGGTGGCTCAGTTGGTTAAGCACCTGACTTAGGTGTACGTCATGATCTTGGGGTCCTGGGATCAAGCCCCACGTCGGGCTCTTCACTCGGCAGGGAGTCTGCTTGTCCCTCTGCCCCTCCTCCTGCTCATGCTCTCTCTCTCTCTCTCTCTCTCTCCTTCTCTTAAATAAATAAAGAAAATTTGTAAGAAAAATTTTTTCCTTCCTGAGGCCATGTCTCAGCAAGTCTCAGTAGAGAGTATCATAATCATTCTACTGAGTTCTTAAGTTTTTAAACAAAGTTCATTAGAATACAAATTTGACAATATCGAATATAGCCAGGTTGTACAGAATGTGAACTCTCATGCACGAATTGGAATGTAAACTGGTACAATCACTTTGGAAACGATTTGTTAGTATCTAGTCAAGCTGAAAATATGCCTTAAGATGCAGCAGTTTTACTCCTGGGTATATACAGAGGGAAATCCTCCTGCCCAGGTATACCAGGAGACATAAACAAAGAATGATACTGTAGTATGGTTTACTCCACCATAATCTGCTCTCACCTTGCAGAGTTATAGGATTACAGGACAAATGGTTAGATTATGTTTCCCAGCTCTCCACCCCCCCGCCCCTGTATTGAAGGGGCAGCCAACTAACTTCTCTCCAATAGAACGTTAATGGAATTGAGGGTGTCACATGCAAGCTAGAATTTTTAAGAAAATGAGTATACTTCTATGCTTTTTTTCCCCCTTCCTTGGGCCACATGCAGATGATAAAATGACTTTAGAGGGTGGCAGAGCAGAAAATGGAAAATGGTTGATGCCCCGAATCACCCCATGAACATCTATCTGAAGAGAAAAAAGATCTGTTATTTGAGGCACTATACCTTCTTGGGTCTCTTTGTTAACCTACTTTAAAACTAATCTAATTGTCCATCAGGAGAAGGGATAAATCGTGATACAGTTATATGCTGAAATACTATACAGCGATAAAATTAAGGCTTCTTGTATCATGAATACATCTCAACAATAATGCCTGGAAAAAGCAAGTTACAGAATACATGAAGTAGGCCATTTATATAAGGCTTAAAGACAATGCTCTATATTGTTTATGGATATATAAAAATATATTTATATGCTACATATGTAAATATTTGTATGTAGTATACATTTATAGTTTAATATCATATGTATATGTATACGTGGCATGAAAACATGCACAGGAATGATAAACACCAAATTTAGGACAGTGCTTCTAGGATTCAGAAGGACAAGTGAATTTTTAAGTTCTTATTTCTTAAGGTAGATAGTGGGTTTGTTCTGATCTTCTGTATTTTGTGTCTGAAATACTTCTTTTAAAAAATCAGTGCCCACAAACTATTCTGCTCACCTCCTTCTTAAAAGGGAACACCTTAGAAATGTTACTTGTCTTAACCTTTCATTTTCCCTTCACCCTTTAGTCTGCTCTTCTTTCTACTTACTTCTATTTCAGCCGCCCTACTCCAAACCATCATCACCTCTTGGCTAGACTATAAGTTTCCTAATTGTTTCCTTCTGATTTTTACTGGTTTGGATACACTCCACATAACAGCCATAGTGAGTTTTTAAACTTGTAAATCAGCGCTCGTTCACCAGCTCAAAGCCTGCTGGTTTCCCATTCCACTTAGAATCCAAGTCACTCCCTCCTTGTCCCACAAGGCCTTCTCCTCCTCCTGCTAACCCATTTAGCCTCTTCTTCCCCTACTCCTTTGTTCTCTGACCATTCCCCAGCTACCCTTTAGCCATAGTGACCTTTTTGTTCCTGGAACCTAGTAAGCTCATTCCCATCTTAGGACCTTTGCATTCACTGTTCCCATTGCCTGGAATGGCTTCTTCCTTGGGCTTTGCAAGGTAGGCTTCATTGTATCATTTAGGTCTTAACCTAATTTCACCTCGGAGGTCCTTTTCCACCTAAATGCACTTTCTGTAACATCACTGTGTTTAATTTTGTTCATTGCAAAGCAGATTCAAAGTAGATTGAAGTATTAGTTGGCCAGCCTACTGCTCACTTGCAGGTATGGATTTCAAATTATCTTTATCAAATGATTCACTCTCTAAATAGTCTTCAAGGGAACCCTGGGTGGCGCAGCGGTTTGGCGCCTGCCTTTGGCCCAGGGCGCGATCCTGGAGATCCGGGATCGAGGCCCACGTCGGGCTCCTGGTGCATGGAGCCTGCTTCTCCCTCTGCCTGTGTCTCTGCCTCTCTCTCTCTCTGTGTGACTATCATAAATAAATAAAAATTAAAAAAAATATATTAAAAAAAATAAATAAATAGTCTTCAAGCTCTCAAAACCTCACTTGGAAAGGGACAGACCTAAAGCAGCAATACACCAGATTCATGATCTGGGATAATAGGAATTAAAAATAAACGTATGAGATGGAAGTTAGCCACTCCCCACTTAGGTAACTGGGTCAGCAAAGGCAGGAGAGAAATTAACAGCAGAATACTAAGATTCTAAATCCTTCCTGCTTTCTAACTCCTTATCGAGCCTTGGTATGTATTTTCCTACGCTTTTTGGCACATTTTTGCATCTACAGAGAATAAGGCTTCAAATTTGTGTTGGTTACCATATTTTTCAGGTTCGACAGTCTTTCTGTATTTTCGGCTCAAGAACTGAAGGTTAAGTTACCTGCATACTATCTAAAATTCTACTTTCTGTATTGAAATTGGTTTTATTATATCCATACTAGTATGAATGAGATATGCAGAAGCAGTAGTAAGAGAAGAGTGATGAAACAGGAAATCCGTTACTGGGGAAAAGTCAACAGATACATTATAATCTAAGGTTTTTATTTCAATAAGCTGCACATTAAAAACATTGTTAAAGCTAGAAGGTGAAGGCATTGAGGGAGAAAAAACTTTTTACTCCACAATTTTAAAGGAATTCATTTTTTCATAGGCATAAAACTGAAAACTCAGGAAAATTATTTTGAAGTTTTTATCACTGACAATTTCTGGAAAACATAAAGTTGACTTTATTTTCCCATAGAGGAGCAATGTTAAAATGTGGGATTATATTCCTGTACTAGGATTCAGCATGCAAATAAATAACTAGTCTAACCATCTATATGTCGTCAGTGCAAAAAAATTGTTAAAAACTACCATAAAAGTCTTACCAATTAAAAATATTATTTCCAGTTCTTCTACATTAGCAATAATCGTGCCTGGATAAACTTCTTTGGCTATGATGGATACTGTCACTGTGCAAAGCTTGTTCTTCTCAATAGACATAAATATAAGGCACTTTTAATTATAAAAGGCATTTCCAAAGGTACTATCAGGTACACACATAGTAAGAAAATGTAGAAGTACTTATATTTAAGTAATCTTACTCGTTGTCTTAGAATTCAGAATGTTGTTAGGGAAATAGACGGCACAAGACTCTTTACAGTTGTCCCAATATTTTAAAATGTTTTTCATATATTTTCCTGAAATAAGTAGAGGCATTCAGCTACCTCATTAATGCTAGAGGTATTTCTTGACAGAAAAGGTTTTTCAAAAGTTAAGACTTGACCTAATATCTGCTCTTCCCTTAATTTACTCAAAGCTAAAATTGTAGGGGCTGAGCATCAGACAAAAGGTAATTCTGCCCAGTGGGTTTTTTTTTTTTTTTTTTTTTTTTTGCCTAGCTCTTATTGAACATACCGTTTAAATTACTTTTCCACTCTTGACAAAACTATAGACGAAGCTGCCTGGTCACTGGTGCAAACTTGAAAAAGACCTTAAAAGCACTTTGCCTTTTTTGTGTGGAGCTGGCCAGGAGGCATGAGGATAACC